ACAGAATGGTTTTTTTGGCTTGTACTGTATGCCTAACACCACAGCATGCAGATATTTAAATAGTAGAGCAGCCAATGCCCACTGGTCCAGGGACAATGAAGTCTCCTCTGGGCTCCTTGCCTTGAATCTGTTTGCTCCCAAGTTAAGAGTGAGCCATTCCAAGCAAACAATCCAAAGTTACTCTCAGAAGAACAGCTGTCATCTTGACTTAGGGACATTTATTTTATATGCCTCCCCCCACATTTGGTTTAAAGAATCCCTGTTATCAGAACAGTTCTCCAGCAGGAAATCCATGATAATGTTAAATCAACAAGCACGACCTAAGACAGAATGTACACACCCCTGCTTTGTGTTTGGACAGGTCCATTCCAAATTGTGCAGGCCCAGCTGTCAACACCACTCTGCCAAAGAATGGGTGGGAAACAATCTGAACCGCACGTGGAGGTAGCTGTTGTTCTTTCTGCTGTTGACTGGACAGCTCAATCATTTCTTGCATGAACCGCAGGCCATCTTCTGCATCGAGTGCACTTGCCGCCTGATGAAAAAGCCAACCAAACACATCTCACATCTTTAAGCAATCCAAGTGCAAGTTAACAGATCCTTTATTTCTTCACTTTAGCACTGCAAACAAAATTTAACCAAGACTAAGACCAAAAAGCATTTCAGACTAATTACTTGCTTTAAACAAATCCACCTGAAGCAGAGAGTATACAGGAGGTTAATTAAAATTGCCTGCTTCATTATTTGCCTGTATTTCCCAAGTGCATCATGGTGAAGCATTAAAATCTGTACAGCATGGAACCAGCTTTACAATCTTACTAAAAATGTTCCTGTTTGTCCCTAGAATATTCACACATGACTTGGGTTTTTTTTTTCATGGTGAAGCATTAAAATCTGTACAGCTTGGAACCAGCTTTTCTGTAACATCAAGAACTATGTGACATTATCTCATTTGCTTCTTACAAGACACGGTAAGCATCTGGAAAACAATGTCCCCGTATGCCCACCATTAAGAATTGTGGGATTCCCATCTCTCTGCTTGTCCAAGATGAACGCCACGCAACAAGAGGAGGGTCCTTACTTGGATAGCATGTTGCACCAGCTGGACCCTTCCATCTTTGAGGTGAATCAAGCTGACTCCCATCTTCTTCAGGATCTCCAAATGCTCAGGATTGCTGGCCATGAAATCCCTTGCTCTCAGCGGTGGCTTTGGTCCACTGCCCAAGCTCTCCTCCCTGCAAGAGAGGACACTGGCAATATTTTTAAACTATCAGCTGACTGCATATCTGAACGGTGTACCTGTGGGTGTGCATGACCGCAGCCATACATGCGGTGCCAACAGAAGCCATTAAAAGCTGAATGGATGGATAAAAAGCACTCTGGTGTGTTTCTCAGCATTTCCCCTAAACCTTTCAAGTCTTGTTTTTTGACTGAACTTACACTCTCCCCTTTATTGCCCGGGCATGTCAGAGGGTCTGATTTTGATTCTTCTTCACCAGATTCCATTCCATGCTTGCCTTCCCTCCCAACACAGTTAAAAACCACTTGCTCCATTCTACTATCAAATTTATCTTTCATACACTTCCCTCTTTCTTCAGTGGTGTGTCTCTCCTAACGCCCAATATATTCACTACCCAGTTAGCCAGATCTGTTCAGGTTTCTTATGCTGCTCAGGTCTCTCCAGTCTGCTCATCCTGCTTTGCATTCAACATGAATCCTTTATAACACACAAGGTTTTCCAGAGCCTTGTGTCTTACTTTTATCTTCAGCCTCACTGCTCCCACAAACTCATTTTTTTGGCCTCTGTCCCACCAAAATCTCCCATTGCTCTTGCCACATGATGCTTTGAGCATTCCTCATTTTTATTTACTCCTCGCAACTACACCACCTACTATTCAGTCTTTAATCCCTTTACTTAGGCTAGATTTAAAAGGTGACACTGGCCACACAAGGAAAACCTACCCACATGACATTCCACATGCATTGTGTTATGCTGGCTGCCACACCTGGGTGTGCAAGAGTTAGAATCCATACCATGACCCAATGGCACACCAAGAGTACAGTACATGTGCAACTAACTATTAGAGATGTATTTTAAAAAGAATGCCGGGCAAGGAAGAATGCCAAACAGGTAAGTTTCTCTGAAAAGCATGGATGTACTTAATCAGACCTTAATTTTTGTCCCTGTCCCTTACTGCCAATCTCACATTTCTACCATTTAGGTAAGTTCTTTGGAGTGGAGACCTCTAACATATTACAATCATGCACTGTGTAAGTAATGTGGGAGCAGGAAAAAAAAGATACATGAACACACAATCCTTATCCTTGTAACAAGCAACTGCTTTTAATAAACTCAAAAAAGGATCTGCTAGTTGATTTCTTAAATCGATTTCTGCATAGGTTATTTTGTTAGTAGTGAGTAGAATTCAGCCTCCTGTCTTGTGCAGGGCTAACACAAACATGAGTGTCAGTAAAAAAAAAAATAACTTAGTCAAGCTCAGATGCATGCAAACCAAGTGGATCGAATCAACAGAATCAGCTTGCTGTACATTCCTTTTTAATCACACACATGCACACACGTATTCAGGGGTACAAAAGGTATATAATTAAACAGCTTACGCTCGAGATACACCCCTAGGACAGCTCTTGTCTACCACATTTTTCAGAGGTTCCCTGATGTTCTGAGCATACATGGGGTCATTTGGAAAGAGAATCTGGGTGTTGGGGCACGTCCAGTCAAAGTTACTATCATCCAGTTCAGTGTATTCTGTAGTCTACGAAGGAAAGAGAGCAGGTGGCATTTGTTTAATGCAGCTGTATTTTCTTGGATATAAGTCATCCCAGTAGCCAAGCCTGAGCAATTACATTCCAAGTACATTTATAAGCAGACCAAGCACGAAAAGATAAAAGTGTGCAACAGTTCACAAACAACCGTGTTTACCTGCACACATTCATAACCAATTCTATTTACACAAACAGCAAAGCTAGTTGACCCTGTGCATGACCATGTCATCAGAAGCATTCAAAAGATTCTATATGGGGGAAGATGAATCCCAGATGCTTGAAGCAGCTCACACCACAATAAGGCAGAATACAGCCTCAGATGCCAGGCTCCCAATGCAACAGTTGATTATTTAAGGAGATCAATTCCTCAACTCCTTTAGCAGTTTTTCCATGTAGAAAAATTTCAAATTACAAATTAGCAAAATAAATGAGCAGGAACCGGGGGGTGGGGGAAAGAGGGCAAAGTGAAAAAGGGCCCAGGAGAAATGTAAGGGAAGGGGGCTTGCCATAGCCTACCCAGGACGTACAACAGCACAGCGTTCAGAATACTAGAGGACTACTGGACAGGGCTATGTTGTGTATTCACACTGGGGTGGATCTTACCCCCATCCTACCACTCCGCTGAGGAATCTATTTATTAAACTCTTGATACCACACGTTTTCTTCTGGCTCAAGTCTGAAACCCTTTGCATTGCAAGAAGACCCACTTAATCTAAAGGAAGGTTGGATCCATCTCTTTATGTATTACTGGGGGCTGCTGCACAGGTTAACGTGTACCTGCGGTAACATCTTTATGTGCATTTTGCAATGCACGACTGTCTCTATGCACGCTTGCCCTTCAGGGAGCTAGGTAAAAACCCAGCTTTCTGCAGCGTGTTTCTGTGGTGGGAGGGGGAGACATGCAATTGTTTCAGGTGTAATGCAGAAGAAGCTGGCCCGTATCTTCCAGTATTCACCTATTTCTGAGTCTAATTCATGTGCTAGAAATTCAAGATGACACCTGCAATCTGTCACAGTACATTTACATTAAAGTCCTGTTCCTTGAATACTTTGGGCATGGTCCATCCTTGTCTAGGCACCGTTGCCTATGGCCTCTACATAGCCTTGTCCCTTTCTCCACTCGTCCACCACCAGGAATGCGACTTGCTAAGGAGGGCGGGGTGAGGATTCAGGAGGTGCCCCTGGCTTCCCATTCCTAATAATGGACCAGAGAGTTGTGAGGCCTGCAGGCTCCCAAGGTGTTGGGGGTGCCAGAGGGAGGAAAGAGCTCTGTGCTGACCCTTTTTGATTTGGGCAGCTGCAACTGCACAGGGATGGATCACACCCTCGGATTTTACCATCTTGCTTTTTTAAGTTTCTAAAGCAGCACTTACAATATTTTTCCTAGGGGCTGTTTGGTTTGTAGTAGACAGCCAGAGAGGTAGCAAATGAGCCTCAGTAGTAAAGACATAGTCTTCGATATCAAAAGTCAGATCTTCCTTATCAGCAAAGAGCAGGTATAAGTACTTAAACATCTCCGCCAGGAAGAAAGAGTCCATCCTAGAAAGGGAAGGAAGAACATACTCTGAATACAAATTTGTGAGCCACAGAAGTAGCGAAATGTGGGAGGACACTTTCGAATGAAGAAAGCACTAAAGTAAATGCCCGTTAAAACTGGTGCGAATTCTAAAGTGACATGGACAAAACCCTGCTTTCACCCTCAACACCTTTACACTTTCTTTGGAAAAACAATTATAATGACACCTTCACAGACAGCTATAAGAAGTAATTTACTTTTTAAAAACAAAATAAGTTACCTTGTTGTAGGTAACCTGGGTACTAAAGACTGTGAAGCTTAATACACCAGTTAGCTATTGCAAAGAAAACCAGTATGTATACTCCAGATTTCAACTGAGCTTTTGCAGATGATGTACTTTTCGATATCTGTTACCTGTCTTCATGACTTCCAGTACGGACATCTTTCATTGCTGCAAACCCGCAAGGTACTCGGGCATATTTATTTAAGTTCTCAATTAGAGTTTTTCCTACTTCCAGGTAGTAAGGATCTCCCGTAGCCTGTTTTTAAAAGAGAATGTTAAGCATTTAATATGCAGTGTTATTCCAGAAGTAACACATTACATTTACTTGCCAAATATTATTCTGGTATTTGACCTAGTGACATACCTTTAAAAATAGCTTTGATCTACACATATCTCAAAAATAAAAAGATACTTTGAAGTGGAAGGAGCAGCTCACTGCATCCAGCCATGGTGGTAGATGAGAGCATTGTTCAGAGATCCAAAGGAGACAGTCTTTGAATATCAATGGAATAACTCCAGTACATTTTTAAATAGAAGAAGAGGAAGAGATTGAATTTATACCCCTCCCTTCGCTTCCCAAAGGAGTCTCAGAGCATCTTATAATCTCCTCTCCCTTCCCCTCCGCATAACAGATACCCTGTGAGGTAGATGGGGCTAAGAGAGCTCTGAGAGAACTGTTCATGAGAGAACAGGTCTGAGATAACTTGTAACTCACCCAAGGTCACACCAGCAGCTACATGTGGAGGAGTGGGGAATCAAACCTGGTTCTCCCAGATTAGAGTCTGCATTCCTAACCACTACACCAAACTGTAAAAATACAGTTGTGAATTATACAAAGAATGGGAAAGATCCTGGAAATAGTCCCACTGAAAACATGAATAGATCAGGTTTGCAAGAATGTCTCATCCCTTAGAGACCAAGGATCCAAACCCCAGAACCATCTATGCTAGGAAAGAGCAAAAGTCCATCACTACTGATGCAATCCTTAACCATATTTACAAGGGAGTCCCCATTGCTGCAATCTTTAAACATACTCACTAGGGTAGTCCCCTTGAACTCAATGGGACTTACTTCTGCGTAGACATGCTTAGGATTGTCCTCTAACAGTTCTGTCCTATGCAGAGTTGCTCCGGTCTAAGACCACTGATCTCTCTGGAGTAACTCCACTATTCTGGAGTATCTGTACTGCAGGTCACTTGCCAGAAGGGTCCAAACTAAGTATTTCCAGAAAGTCCACAACCAAAGAAAGATGGAGGCAGTAGTCTTCTGCTGTTTGCCTTCAGCATCTGGTAATCAGATACTGACTTCGAATATGGTAGACACATCTGGCTACCATGACAACAAAGGCCCTTAAAACATTTTGACAAGCCATATAATTTAGAGGCCATTACCAGCTCCTATTGCTAATGAATTCCGTACACTGTAGTTTGCAAAATTGGTAGTTTCTACCAGTTCTCAACCTACTGCCAACTAAACTTCATTGGTGTGAAGCAACCAAAAATTAGAATGCATTCACATCATTTCCTGTGATTAAATACTAAAATACCTTCATTCCTTTGCCTAACAATTTCTAGGACTGAATTTGCCTTGAATTTGAACAACCAAAAAACCCCTTACTTTATACAAAAAGTAAGTGCTCTCTGCGAATTCTGGCCGTAAAGGATGCTGAGCCCAATGAACTCGGAAGTCTGTTGTGAAAGCCTGAAGAGGACAAAGAGGAAGATGATGTAAGTAAGTATTAAATAGTTATGCTTTGTACAGTATCTTCGGCATAACCATTTTAGAGATAAGTGACGGTTATTCTCATGTTACAGACTGTGAACCGAGGCTGGGAGTACGTATCATGCTTGATCCATCCAGCAGCAGGCACTAGTCACTGATCTTTCCCACGTTCCTCTCCCACTTCAATCCCATTCCATCCCTGGCTACAGTACGAAGTACAGCTACCCTGACAGGAGAAAGCAGTTTCCTTATCTTTTCCCTCCCCAGTGCAGCCCCCCCGCCCTGCATAACTAACCGCCCACACAGGTCCTGTGACAACAGGAATAAACTTTCTTGAGGTTAAATGGGACTGCTGGGGGGAGAGGAATGTGGGAAAGAGCCACAATTTTGCACTTGTGGCTTGGTGGGACCAACCCTAGGTTTTGATATTATGCCTCCACCACGAAAATGTGTGTTCAATCTGGTAAGGAAGCATATGAACTGACACAATTTGCACAGCTTATAGTGACATCAGACAAGAAAATATTGTCCAAGATCTACTCTATACTGCATAGTTCAAGTCCGATAATGGGAAACCCCATATTCTTAAATGCACTAAGAGCCTTGGTTATTGTTTGGATCCTGACAAATGGAGTGGAGTTTTCTTCCAGCATACAAAAAAAAGAGAGCTGCTTTAAAATGGTGCACCAGTGGCTCCTAGCACTGAATACAGAGTTGTCTAAACTTCCACTCTCAGCTAGTTATGAGTGCTGGTTTTGTACCTCTCCAAAAGCAGGCTACATTCATATTTGGGGCTCATGCCCCAGGGCTCAAGTTTATTGGAAATGAGTACAAAAGACAATTTTTGAAATACAGGGATTGGTCCTTAATTTGAAACTTGAAATTTCTCTCTTAAATTGTGTTCACATCGTAACTAAATAAATATAAACTACTGATCCCGGAGCTCTGACATCTGTGAGGATGGTATTTGCACATTATTGGAAACAATTGACGTTGCCTGGCAAATTACAATTGTTCCCAAATATGTGGGATTTGTTATCAATAGTCAAACTAACAGCAATTCAGAATTCTAGTGTTTTAAGATGACAATTTAAAAAATAAGCTGTTAAAATGAATGGAAATGAAAGGAATAACTGTAACTGCATGCTTTCTCTTCCTTTGTTTTTAATTTGTGAACTAGATGTATCGTTTGCTCTGTATATTGGTTCTGATTATGTACTGTTGCACTTTAATAAAAAATTTTTAAAGGGAATGTGTATCAATAAGTGCATCCAGATGAACAGCAAGCTAAGGACCAAATTACCAGTTACCTATGACCTGAGTAGGATTGAGGGAACCTGAATTGATGGCATCCTTTTTGCAGATGGACGTGACATCAGGGGACTAATGTTCCAAATGCACCAGGGCACAGTTTGGCTCAGGAGCATAACTTGGGGCTTCAGGCTTCTCTCCTGTGCCATTTGGATCAGAAGGGGCTGCATCTGCACCACTGTGGGGCTACACAAGCTGTAGTTTCACAGGAAATGTACAGTTTGGCCCTAAAGAGGGGTACAGAAATGTGTGCAGAAGTAAAGGCTCTTCCTGCTGTCCTACTTTCACTACTATGGGAAGTGCAGTAAGAAGAGGAAAAAACTTTATACACTCAAGGAGGCACTAGGATAAATGTATGCAGGGCTAATAATCAATCAGTAGACATCCACCATTCCTTCTAGTGCCTGATAGTCATCTGAAACATCTGCCTCCCATCTGCTGCTGGTGGTTCTTTGTACTGTCGGTTGGTTGTATCATTTTCACTGATTTTGTAAACCAATTTGAAGGCCATATTAGAGAAGAAACGCAGGGTAAAATTCTTCATCAAATACACACAACAGACAAATCTTCCGAAGAGAGTGATAAACTTTTAAACACACGCCTACCTCAGGGAGAAAGTTATGCTTTTTTATTACTTGATACAGCATCTCATGAGTTTCTATAGCTGGTCTAATGTCACCTTTCAATACCTTGAACCCAAAACAGAAAAAAAGGTTAACATTTATCTCGTACCCATTCAAGATAATTTAGATAGTTTCCTGTCATTATATTTTCTTAGTCACAACATGCTCAACTCTTTGCCTTTCTCCATAAACCACCAAAACGAAGGAATTTGACAGAAGAAAATGACGCAGCAAGCAAAAACTGAGTAGACCCTAGAGATGTCATCTGTGAATATTTATCTGCAAGGGTCCCCTAACAGGGTCCGCTGGCGGAAGGTGGACCAAGATCTACTTCTGCCAGTGTGGAATGCCTGTACTGGCATTTTGGTTAGTCTGTTCAACAGTTTTAAACTGAATACGCGTGGCAGGTTTCTACAAATTTAAATTTTGCAATGAGGGAATGGTCTTTTGGAGATGTTAAATGTCAAGGCAAGTATCTTAAAGGTCAATCAGGTACACAGACACTTTTGTGAAATAAGTCGGTTGTGTTTGATGGCAGAGTGGACATTTGTAAGCCCCCTTAAGCTCCATAAGGAAGAAAGGGGGCTAATAAATGTTTTAAATAAAAAAGAATAAATAAAAGTTACCATCTGGTACTTTTTTAGGCACTTTATAAAAAGGATGAAGACAAATCCCAGAAATGTGAAGGGTCACTTTATGAAAGACTGATGATGATTAAAAACACAGAAAGAGACTAAAAGACTCAAATTCTGAGTTAGTCAATAAACTTCTAATCTGAATAACTTAATTTTGAAAGACTGATCATTGAAAGACAGGGAAAGCACAAATAGGTAACATCACATTTAGATAAAAAGAAGTCTTAAGCTATTGCTCTACTATATACTATTGCCTAATATTAAATGTCCGACACGCCTTATAAAATAAGCGACAATATAAAACATGACAAACATGTTGTGAATTAGTGTGGGCTTGAAGGAAATTAATTTTTTCACAATCTGCCAAAGTTGTCAATGTTAATTAGGTAATACAACCAGTAGAGGGAGCACAGGGGATTATTCTTCCCAGACACTCTCCAGTTTTCTGAGGCACAGTGTGTTTTGGATTGATTTGAATGAAATTGCTCAGTCTTGATTCTATATTTCAAATGGGACCAGGGCTCTACTGGTAGCAGGAGCTCCTTTGCATATTAGGCCACACCCCCTAGTGTAGCCAATCCTCCAAGAGCTTACAGTAGCCCCAGTAAGAAGAGCTCTGTAAGCTCTTGGAGGATTGGCTACACTAGGGGGTGTGGCCAAATATGCAAAGGAGCTCCTGCTACCAGTAGAGCCCTGGGCCCCCACAACCACATTAGAAGAACTGCTGTAACTGGCTAGCTAGTACATTATAATCAAATAGTATGAAGAGAAAGAAAAGTTTAAAAGTATCTACAGATCAGGAACATCCTACCTGCAAACCTGGAAAAAATGCTAGCAGAGAATCCATCCAGGTCCGAGCATTGAGCATTGGTTTGTGTATGTGCACATCCAGCAGGAGTGGTGGCTGGCTAATGTATCTCATTATGGCATCGTAATGCTGGAGAGCAACAGATCCTTGTGAGCTCATCTTGCACACCAAATACACCTGCAAAGTTAGACCTAACCTGCTCCCTCCCCAAATGCATGCAGATACAGGGCCGCAGAAGGAATAGCTTCCCCTGTACTGAAAGATACCCAGCTTAACAGATCCTGGCTACATTCCACTTTTTTTTAAACTTAGCTTTCAAAAACAGCTGCCCAAAACAACCCACAAATTCATACAGATCAGGGGTCCCCAACCTTTCAGATCCTGCATAAAATGTGGCCGGCCCACCTCTGTGGTAACATACCTCATCAGCCTTCACTGTAGTTAACAACAGATGCATTGGCATGGGCTAACTGCAGTAATGGTGGGAGAGAGGAAATTCATTCTGGGAGGGGGGTGTTCTTTCTCTAGATTGTTACAAAAGAGGAACACGGGAAGTCTTCAGCGGAACACTCTCTGCCTGCTCCATGTCACACAAGCATATTGATTTGCCCTCCATTTACATTATGCAAGACTTGAGCCATACATTCCTCACAAAAACATGTCTTGCTTCTAACACCAAATGGGATCACCCCCTCACTATTTTAGCCCAGATGACATTATTAATCAACATTTTTTTCCTGTTGGAATGTGTTCTCAGCACCACATCTAATAGTCCAGCATCGACCGAGGAACGTGTGCCCTGCAATACATCCTTGGCTGCCTGCTCCTGTGCCATGTGTTTAACATCTACACCCATGTTAGTGAATTATACGTACAGGGCTGGACGCCCACCTCATCTCTATTGCTGACTAGATCCCCCACTGTGATTAAGGACAGTTATTCTGCCATCCTGAAATTGTACCACCTTACAAACTGTTTTATGGTTTTAATTTGTTCTACTGTTTTAATACAAACTGTTTTATGATTTTAATTTGTTCTACTGTTTTGATCTGGTATGATACCTTCAGGTCTCTAAGCCTGCTTTGGCGGGGAGGGCAGGGTTTAAATCAAATAAATAAATGCATATCTTAAACTGTCATATGCTAGTTGCAAGGTAATTATTTTTCCACAAAGGTAGCTAAATATGTCTAAGGTAGTCAGAACACACAGAGAGCCCACTGGTGCATTAAAGATTAACGACTCTGTTCTGCCATAACCATTTGTGGGCCCCCTTTAGTCTTTTCATACCTGTTTCTGAAAGTGACACTACAAGAACATAAGAGCACTGCTGGATTAGATCGGTCCATCTACTCCAGAATCCTGTCTCACACGATGGCCAGTTACCCTGGAGGGTCAAACAAGGCACAGAGACCAGGGCACACGTTGCCTCCTCGTACTGGTATCCAAAGGTTTGCTGAGTCTGAATAAAGAGCTCCCCTTTACGCTACATGGGCTAGTAGCCACTAGTGAACCTCTCCTCCACGAATCCGTCTAACCCCTCCTTAGAGCCTTCTGCGCTCATGCCTATTGCTTCAGCCACTGGCAATGAATTCCACAATTACTCACTGAGTAAAGAACTACTTCCTTTTGCCTGTTCTGAATCTATTGTCCATAAACTCCACTGGGTGCGCCCAAGTTCTAGTATTATGGGAGAGGGAGAAAGTTCTCTGTTTTCTTTCTCCACCCTGTCCTTCAGTCCGCAAAATATGCTGATGACGCCTGATTAATAAGCTACTCTAAAACTAGAGTCCTACTATTTCATGCTGATGAGATCCAAAGAAAAATCTTTTGCAGTCTTGCCTTCCCTGTAGGGAAGGGAGTACATAATCCTGTAGCTGCCTCACAATATACAGTCAGTCTGGTAATAAGGGGAAGCGGGTGGAACGCTGAATGGATGCATGGAACGGCATCTTTGTTCGGGGAAGGGTAAAACGACCCAGCAATCTCAGGTTCAACAATATCACACATCTGAAGGATGAAGAGAGACTGATAATTGCAAGGCTCTAAACAACTCTTGCTATACTCATTAACTGCACAGCTGGACTCTATCATTTCATCTGACATTTAAAAAGATCCCAGGTTAAAAAAGTAGTAGTATCGGTTCTACTCACTGTGTTAAATCTTTCAAGGAAACTGTCATCTCCGAGCAAGACATAGGCTTTTAATAAATACTCATAGTATGAATCAATTCCTGCTCCAACTCCACTATCTAAGAAGATTAAAAAATGCTGTTATGTTTTTAAAAAGAATACAGCTGCAGCTAGTTTTCATTACTATGAAAAAAAATCCTTCTTTTAGCAATACAGTTAACAAGAGGAGGTAAAGACATAAAGAAAAACTGCTGGGGGAAGAAGCTACACTGAGTGCAATATTACCCTGTCCATGTATATATTTTTGTTTAATCCACATAAGGAAGCATCTTTTCCAGCAGGCAGAGTAGGCATATTTTAGTTCCGCCTTATAAAATGCCTCTCCTGGGTTGCATGGACAACCAGTAGTGCAATCTTTGAGAACAGTCCTGAGCCGTCCCCAGACCTCTGAAATCTGAGGAATATTTTCTCCAAAACCAGGGATAGTATCCTAGGTCTGTTCTCATTTTCCCCAAATGAGAGCCAGGTGTACCCAGAGACTGTAGAGCTGGAAAGTTTCGTACCTTTTCGGACCCAGTCACCAGTATGAATGTTGATGGTGACTCCTACCAAATTACTGCTGCGCTGTCTTTTCTCCCAAAGAAAATCAAGTGCCTTCCGCGCATATTCCTGCAGCAAAGATAATAACAACAACATTCTGCTAAGAAGTGCAGTTTTAGCGCAATGGTAACTGATGCAAACTGCTGGTGTATTAATTGCTGTCCTTCTCAACAAAGAAAAGTAGCATTTTGCATAACAAAATCAAAATTTAGAGCCCTGTCACTAAGAAGGAAAATAAGGTCCCAAGGGCATTAACCAGAATTAGTTCTTGTCCACTCACAAAACTATTCTGCTTGTGGTTACGAATAAAGGGAGTCATCCCGCCTCTGCTTAAGTCAGTGATTCTCAAAGCTGTGGATCATAACTAGGGATGCTCCAGCACCCGCTAGTTCAGCACATATCCTGTTCAGCAGTTGCAAAGAGACAGCTGATTTTTTGGCCATTGGTTCGACTTTTCATCATCAACCTGTCTGCGGCTGTTCGGCACATTGTTTCATTGCATTCTTTCCAAACCATGAAGTACAGACTTTTCACACGCGCACATTTTCACACAGCCAAGTGAGTTCTGGAGAGCTGCATAAGTGTTCTCTAGGCAATTGTTTAAATAAGGCAGTTTCATCAGTCACAAAACACGTACATCACCCGTAAATAAATGCCACATTCTAATAAAATCTGACTCTTTGGTGGGTCATCTAAGTACTCCCCAGTGACACTTAATGGCTGCTGATCGGTTTGAACTGGAAGCACTTTTGTGCACGCACAGTTCTGCAAAACCCTGAGGCAAACCCATTTTGACCTTGTTTTCTTAAAATCTGCCAGGCATTCATGGCTGTCCGGCATGAACTGAACAGGCTGGGTGATTGGCTCACACCTGATTGACACCTTCAAGCCCAGCCAGTTCGAATGTCAAGCACATTCATAGTAGGATTCTCAGCATCCATACCCCAGTTGCAACCCATCCTCCTCTGAGTAGGTCACAAGGGTCCAGGGAGGCAGCAGAGCTCTGGGCAAGCCCCCTCCCAGTGGTGGGAAAAGAAGAGAGGCACCACATTCCCTTAGTGCTTCATGCCAGCCTATCGGCAACCAGGTCCAAGTTAAGCCCTGACATGAACCAACAGGCTCAGACCCACCCCCAGCAGAAGTGCAAGAAAGAGAGGGCATTCCTATGTAGGTTGCCTCCCAGACCTTTGCTGTTTGTACGGCCCTCTTACCATGAGGAGTAATTTCCAGGACAACTGAAGACACCATGCCTCCAAGCATAGTTTGGATATGCAACTGATTGGACATTTCTAATACAGCAAATTATCCATTACACAGTTCAAGCAACTGATATACCAGAACAGAAATCAAATGCACAGGCAACTATACTAACAAAGTTTCAAGTTGCACAAATAATAATTATGAGCACTTTCCACAAACCTCAAATACTGTTGCGCCTGTGAAGCGGCTCAGAGCAGCAAACTCCAGGATCAAAGTGCCTGCACAAGCTGTACATGTGTCAGTCTCAGTTCCTGTTCGAGCCTCTGGACTCCTTAGGCCAAATTTTAAGTTAACCTAAAGGGGGGGAAAGCAGTCAAGACCGAACTTTACTATCATAGTGATAGTGTTTTGGGTGAATCTATTATCCAAAGCAAGCAAGAACCGTACATGCAGCTCTGGCTCTCTCTAAAGTTCTTAGTTCAGCACCAAAGCAGCAGGGAATTTAGCTTTAAAAGAGCAGCTTGCCTTGGAGTGCCAAACCTGCTGTGAAGGGAACTGAAAGCTCAGAGAAAACTCTGGCTGAGAGCCTGCATTACCTAATAATGCACACATGCAGGGTCTTTGGATAAAGATCCCCAAAAGTTAACTACTAGCAGGCACAAAAGTTGTTGTGAATATTTTAATAGGCAAATATACGAAATCACAAACAACCCTAAATTTGGGGTAACCTGTTCATGTTAGAAGCAAAAGTACTGGGTGGAATACCATGAGTTAACATACAAAGTAAGTGTCAGCTCGCCTCTCTCTTAGGAGGACATTAATCAATATATCTAATTCTCAACATGGCTGAATCTGGATACTTAAATCCAGAGACTGCAGCCATGGACAGGAAAGACAGCTCTTCCTACAAACCTGGGAAATGCCCCAGGTTTGCATAAAAACCTGGAAAAGACATTGGTGGATTAACCACCCCGCCCCCCCACAATAACAGAAGCAGTGTTTGTAGTTATAAGAAACGAATGCCCTCAGTGACTCTTGTTGGGCAACCACAACAGGATTACCAGTCTTTAAGCCTCAGTAAAATGCAGGGGCCTGGCTGGCAGATGTCAGGTGACTCGCACCTATCCAACTTGTGTGACTCCCCCCCCCCCAAGCCCAGCCGCTTGCTGGTGTTCAACAGCAACCACCCCACGAAAGCCAAAGTGGTGTAGTGGTTAGAGTTCCCGACTAGGATCTGGGAGACCAAGGTCAAATCTCCACTCTGCCGTGGAAGCTCACTGGGGGACCTTGGGCCACACAACCACAGCCAGCCTAACCTATCGCACAGGCTTCTTGCGAGGATACAATGGAGGGCAGGGGGATGATGTAAGTTGCTTTGGGCCCCCAAAATCACAGTATAAATTAAATAACTAACATGGCTGAACATGGAGGAGACATAAAAGACAGGCTGGTGGGTGGGAAGGGAGAAGGAAGCAGGGAGAGTTGAAGATTAAATGGCTGCCAGGAGGAGAGGGGAAGGGGAAATTGTGTGGGGAGGGGGGATTTAGAAGAAAGGGAGATGCCCCAAGTCCCCCACCATGCAACAGGCCTGGTCGGCACAACACAACTGGGCCTACATCACCCAGGACCTTGCAACAGAGCCTGGCCTGGCAACGAACGCCACACAATTCAGCCAGAGATTTCCCAGGGAGAGGCTGCCACGGTGATGAAAGGAAAGAAAGCTGACGATGGGGATACAAAGATAGGTGGGTGGGAAGAAGAGAGGGAAACAGGAAACTATGGAAGCTTTCGGGGATAGGAAAGAGGAAATAGTGGAGGAGGGGAAAATGAGATACCCCCCTGCAAGTCCTTGTGGGTCCCCTGCTTGTTAAGTTACTCTTAGTAAGCTAATGTCACAGAACCGCCCACAAAGAAAGCAAGGTTTTCTGCTTATTCTAGGACACACTCTCACTCCAATCCTAAACAGCCTGTTAAGGACTAAGCATGCTCACAGTTCTCCAGGAGGTACAGAATGTTCAGGGTGGTTGTATGTCAGTTAAAAGGGAAGAGAAAATTGGCCTCTCAAGCCCCAGCACAGCTTTCCTAAAGGGTGTGAAGGCTGTACATCTCTAACTCCAACTTTTCCCATAAAGCCTGGGGAAGGAGAAATACAGGCTTGGATCCTAAGCAGCATGAGGACATAGAAGAAAGCAACTCCCCCTAGCCATAGCCTGTTTTTGCCCTCTGAAATCATGCTCCTTTGGGTTAGTGAACCTGAAGAAACAGTGCAGAGGGTAAAACAAAATCATCTTCCCCCTTCCTTACAGACAGAAAAGGCTGATCTGTCAGAGGAACTGTTGGTGCACAACATAATGGGACCATAGGATCCACTCCTAAAGATCTCCTCATTTGAGCACTGTATGGCTCAGGTCTGGGACTACAGAAACGACTTCCAATTTGCTTAGCCCGAAATCTCAGCTGCCAGCACTGCAAAGCAGTGGCACTAAACTACTAAGGTCCAGGATCAGTGGAGCAGGACGCTAGCTATCTGTCCCCAGAGCTCAGCAGTCTTGCACTACGATGCTTCAGAGGGAAGTTTTCAATTTCCCTGCCCCTACCCCCAACCTGTCATACTCACTCTTGGATATGGGAGACCACTGGTGGTGTTAAAAGCTGGCAAGAGCCTGTAGCCCAACTGCTTTGCCATGCGCAGAAGTTCCCCATTGTACCACTGCATGTCTTCACCTTTTTCTTTCAGCATGATTGCTACAGAGTGCCCACCTAGAAGCCCTCTAACACAACAAAAGAGAACATATTTCAGGAATTACATTCATCATGACAATACTGATCTCAAACCTGGAAATACTTAAGGATTGGTGCAGATGTAAAGAAGGAGGAGGAGGAGATTGGATTTATACCCCGCCCTTCACTACCCGAAGGAGTCTCAGAGCGGCTTACCATTTCCTTTCCCTTTCCCTCCCCACAACAGACACCCTGTGAGGTAGGTGGGTCTGAGAGAGCTCTTTCGAGGACTGCTCGTGAGAGAACAGCTCTGAGAGAACTTGTGACTGACCCAAAGTACACCAGCAGTTGTATGTGGAGGAGTAGGGAATCAAACCCGGTTCTCCCAGATTAGAGTCCACACTCCTAACCACTACACCAAACTGGCTCTAAAGGTGGCTACTGTTGAGGTATCAGGAGCCGCTGCTTTTCAACTGAGGTTTAACCCTGTCTGTACCATGACAGAAGGGTGGGCTATTTCTGCTGAAGTATCAGAAGGCAAGATATGATTCCCGGTGGTTGGGGCTTCAATGACAGCACTATCTAGTAGACTGAGAATTATGCAGACCAGTGAACACTATGCAAAATAAAGAAGAATTACATAAGACTACTTTGTCCCCATGATTTACACAGGTCAAAGAACTTTATGAATTTCCATTACTCTTAAGTGCTAAAAGGACAAGGACCGTATTTACCCAAAGAAAGAGGTCCCTGAAGGTAAGATGCTCTCAAAAAATGATTATACACAAAGGTGGTCTTTAAAAATTATTGCACATACTTGCATGCAAATGTATGACAGCCCCCTCTTTTCTTGACAACACACTTGGGTCTTCCTTGAAGTATATTAACCATAAACTATACCAACTGCGGTACTTTTTTGGAACAAACTTACCCAAGAACTCTTATGTTTGTTTCAAACACTGATACTACAACGTCATTGTCCAAATTAACATCTCTGATCACTTTTTTAACAGCCTCTTCAAACTCTTTGGTTTTATTCAATACCTGCAATACACACACACAAACACACACAAGCAAAAACATTAAGCAATGAGTTCCCCATCTGTGAAACTGACATGCAACAGAAATCATCATAGACTTCAAATTTTTATCATATCAAATCTCAATCATTTCAAAACATGCAGAGATAGGATATGTAAATAGATTAGAGGTCACAGGGCACAGCATGATGGAGTAGATCCTTTAAAATCTGGTAAGAAGTATAGGTGGGTGATGGTATTTATCAAGGAACGCCACAGCTGCCCATGAGATCTGGAAACTCAAGAGAAGAGAGGAAACCTTCAAGTGTTATTCTAACAGAATGAAACGTTGTTTTGATTAGCAAACCTAACCTCTTGTGAACCTGCCCAACCATCATGGCCATCTTTGGAGACCCTGCTTTGGGTGCCCCCACCTTCTGAGATTAGGTGGGCGGTGACTCAGGACAGGACCTACTTGGTCATGGCACCAAAGCCCTGGAACTCTCTCCCCAGGGAGATTCGTCTGTCCCCTTCTGTTGCCATCTTCCACCAGCAGCTGAAGACCTTTTTTTTTTGTTTCATTTTGCATTCCTCAATGATCTCTCCCTTCCTAACCAATGTTTTATGTTATTATAACTCTTTTAAAAGCTGTTTTAATGAGGTATGTTTGAGAAAAGTGTGTTTGTTTTAATGGTTTCAAAATGTATTTTATCATGCGTGTTTTAAACTGTTAGCCGCCTTGGCAGCCCTCGTAAGGGCAGAAAGGTGGAATACAAATGTTGTAAATAGATTTTTAAAATAAACGGTTCATTTCACCCATAATGGATTTTCAGTCAGTCATCTTACAGCTGGGGAGTAAAGTAGATAAGCATTATTACCCACATTACAGACAGAAGACTGAAGATCGGGACACTTACCCATGGCTGAGCACAGGGGTCACTTCGTAGAAAAAGAGCTAGGGGAACTCATTAGCATAACTCATTAGCATATGCCACACCCCCTGACATCACCGGAAGTGTGTCATAAGGCCACACCCCCTGACATCACCGGAAGTGTGTCATAAGGCCACACACCCCTGACATCACCGGAAGTGTGTCATAAGGCCACACACCCCACCCCCAATGGTCCCGGCCACCGCCACTGGCCTTGCAGCTCCACTGCCGAGCCCCATGAGGGGCCCGGCGGTGGACCTGCAAGGCTGGCGGGAGTGCAAGGAAGCCCCGCGAAGGCCCTCCGTGGCCCCAGGCAGGCAGGGGTAGGGAGAGGCAGGGAGGAAGCAACTTACCCCTTCCCCTGCCTCCTCCTGGCTGAATGAGGGCCGGAAGCGGGGCGGCCGGAAGCAGGGGGCGGGGCTTCGTCATGTGCCCCGCCCCCCGTACCTCACCCGGGGGAACTGCGGTCCCCCGCGATCCCCCCCAAAATGACCTCTGGCTGAGCAACAGAACAAAGTTTGAGTCCAGTGGCACCTTCAAGACCAACAAAGTTTAGTTCCAGGTATAATCTTTCGTGTGCACGCACACTTCTTCAGATACATTCAAAGACTTCTTCAAGCCTTACATATAGGTGTGTGTGTGGAGGGGTTAGTTGCCTGGATGGGCTATGAGCAATGGCTGAGCAAGTTACACACTGGGGACTTCCAAAGTTTCACATCCAGCTACTACGCTACACTGGCCAACGACAAACTGCTGGGGGTGGCAGAAAAGCCTGGACAGGCACATTTTATGGGCAGTAAAGTTATATATGGCATCCTGTCTCAAGGCTGGACAAGATGCTATTGATGGGCGAGAGAGAAAGTACAGCAAAAGTTACTCGAATGCCTATAAGCAGTTAATCAAAATGCCATCTGCTGTGGTTAAAAAAAGAATAAAAAGTATATTTTAGGGATTATACCACTCTAATTCCACCCCCAGCATGTAACCTGAAGAATGACTTAGCCAATGTTATTCAAAAAGTCTGAAACTTTATTTAACTGAGTAAAACTCTTTCAAGATGCCAAGTTGAAAGTTCATGGTTGTCAGGTAATCATTTCTCTTTCCAATATATACTGAAATGTCTGTATCATATTATGTTTCCAGTTCAGATGCTTCCAATATCAACTGACTGAGCCAGGCTGATGGCTTGAAGCATTAAACTTTTCAGTGAACAAAACAGTTAGCAACAAGGTTCACAGTCCAGATTCTGCAGAAAAAATTATGTCAGTTTGCCATACAAGTGTTCCTTCCATTGTGCACAAGCCTCATATAGAACCTCACATCCAAAAGAAGGAGGAATTGTATGGGGCAGAATGAAAAGCAGAGGAATGTGCACTGGGAGCAAATCTCGGGAGACAGGAAGCCTACAGAGCAGTGGAGTGATGTACATGAATCTGAATGGTTAAGGTTAGGAGAGAAATAAAGCTACGAAGGTATCAGGCGGTCTTGCCTTCCAGGATCACATAAGACAGAATTCTGTCAACTCTTGCTTATATCATGATTTCAGTATTTGACCTAGCAGTATTAATGGAACAGAAAGGGCAATGGAATAATGAGCTGAATTTCACAACTTTTATTTAAACTAACTAGCTAATTATTTGGCCATAAACTTCTAATTTCTCATACAAGTGTGTTATGTAAGAGCCATACTAGTCTTCATGTTATTACCAGGTCCATCATGAGGATTTTTCTATCAGAAGTGCACAGAGTCCCCACAATGTGTAGTCCATCAGTACACATGGCACCCCCAATGACACACATAGTGCCCCCCAGGGCCCTTTCAGGTTGGGAAATTGATACAGGGGATCTTGGTGGATCCAGACACGTCAGGAGAACTGTGTAACACGAAGTTAGGCTTGAAGAATGAGTGTTTCCTGATGATTTCCAAACCTTCCACTTTAGTGTCAATGTAAAAGTTAGAATGTTCAAAGTTCTACCACATCAGGTTGCCCACAGTTGAGGAAATAAGTGGGTTGGCTTGCATAAAATGCACTCTGAGAGCCCTGAGCATGCTAGGGCTTTTCCATTCTTCTTTATGAGCAGGGAACACTGGCACCAAACTGAAATCTACTTCCAAGGGTGGCCCAGTTGGCATATTAAGAATGGGGCTACTGAGTTGACCAGGCAAAGACAGGCACTTGATAAATCCGCCATGCCATTCCTTCCAAGATATCCAGCCAGCAACTCAGCTTGTTTACAATGCCACTCACTACCCAACCAACTTTCAGTAGTTTGGCAATGCCACAATATGTGTGGGCTTAGTTGCAAAGTGGATCGACATCAAAAACCAGCCACACATATGCCGCACCATATGTCAGACTCTGCATGCATAGGGCCAACAGCTCCCACTACGCACTGCCAGTTTGGAAAGGGGGGGAAAGGCGGGGAGAACGGAGGAAAAGCAAAGAGATCAAAGCTAAAGCAACAGGAGAGGAACGAGGCTCCAATCTGGCAGCAGTGGTTGCACAAAAATGTAGAGGATGAGCAGAGGAACCAGGCAGGTTGGGTTACATCGTTAGTAGTCTTGGATCTAGAACTCTCGCTCTTAGAGCAGCAGCAAACTTTTTTGAAGCAGTAGCACAGGTAAACAATACAGCGCAAAACTAATTAAGAGCACGTTTTCCCCAAAAGCCAACACTGATTATGAAGTTCTTCATTAAGATTACCATAAATTATACTCAAACATTTAACAGTTCACAAACATAATGATAAAAAATGGAAGTCCAGGTAGAACCTACCACAAGAGTGTCCAATGTATCAATCAGTGTCAGGGAAAACCTGAGCAGGACAAAACAGAGAGAATTAAAACCCATTATATATATAACTGAGCAAACTTCAGAGGATGGCGGAAGACCGGAAAGCCTGGCGTGATCTGGTCCATGGGATCACGAAATAGTGTGATACCTTCAGCTCCTATTTCTATTGACAGGAACACCAGAAGGAATGTGGGGGCTGTCATCCAACAGAACCACACACATGAATGTCCATGGAAGGGACCTGTGCTCACAAAGCCAAAGCTTTCTTTGTACCGCCACAGCCAAAGAATCAAGGAGTAGGGGTGGGCACAGACTGGAAAAATTGAGATTCGTAGTTTTCACAAACCTCCAAACCATGAACTTCCACGAATTTCTCCACTGCACAAACTGGTTCATGCCTCAGAGAAGTTTGTCGGGACAGCCCCTCCTGGAAGTGAGCTCCGAAAGCATTTAAATGCCTTTGAAGACCACCTCCGGGTCAGGCTGCCCTGACTGAGCCCCGAGAGTGAACTCCGAAGGCCTTTATAGGCCTTCATAGCCCATTTCCAGGTGGGGTCTGCCCATATAAGGGCATATAAGGCCTATAAAAGCCTTCAGAGCTCACTCTGAGAGCTCAGCCAAGAGCTCCAAGAGTGAGCTCTGAAGGCCTATAAAGGCCTTTGGCTCTCACTCTCGGGGCTCAGTTGGGCTGGCTCAACCCAGAGGTGGGCGCCAAAGACATTTAAATGCCTTTAGAGCCCACCTCCAAGTTGGGCTATGGGCCGGGTGATGGGCTCCAACAGCATTTATATTTCTTTGGAGTTCAATTCCAGCTCGGCCGCCGACCAGGAAGTAAGCTTTGGGGGTATTTAAATGCCGTCTGAACCCTCCCACAAACCTCACAAACGGATTGTGGGAGGTGGTTCTCCCGAATCCCAGTTCATGAACCACGAACTGGCTTGGTTCGTGCTCAAACTGGGGTTAGTTGGTGGGTTCTTGCCCAGCCCTATCAAGGAGGTATCTACATTTCTTATGGCCCATTAACTGCAACGAAAATAAAAACCATGTTCTAGAGAAGAAAGTAACAGTTCCTCAATCGGTAGTATGCACTGTCTTGGTTCCCCTGACTCATTGAGTTCAGTCACAGGGTGTACTGGGCCATCAGGTGTGAGCAGATTTGTCTAACAGGTCCTATGTAAAAATAATTCATCTTAACATATCCCAGCCATTAGGCAACACAGCCAGATTCTTTTCTCTGTGACAACACAACTCACCACCGCTTATCTTGAGGGGTGTGTACATATATCACTTGCACATGGATTTTATATCCGGTGGAGTAAGGAAGCAACTGATAAAAACCTTCTATATAAGCCACAGCCTATATGAACTAATGACTGCACAAACATGCCCTGCTGACACTATCCCTCCATGAGTAGAAGAAAAACAGATTGGATTTATACCCTGCCCTTCACTACCCGAAGGTTTCTCGGAGCATTTTACAATCCCTTTCCCTTCCCCTCCCCACAACAGACACCCTGTGAGGTAGGTGAGGCTGAGAGAGCTCTCTTGAGAACTGCCCTTGAGAGAATAGCTCTGAAGAACCTATGACTCACCCAAGGTCACACCAGTGGCTGCATGTGGAAGAGTGGGGAATCGAACCCGGTTCTCCCAGATTAGAGTCCGTGCTCTTAACTACTACACCAAACTGACTAAAAAAAGGGAAGCCAAATCACACTAGGCAGGGGCCATTAATCTGGGTCTCCCTGCTGGCTGAAGGTTCTAATACCTGACAGAGGAGATCCTTATATGCCTGTGTCTTACTTCCACACCCAACTACATGAATACCCTTACATGTTGGTGTATGAGCTGGAGCTTATTTGATGCTATTTGAGAAATAATCTCACCAGCTCTTACTTGCTGTGAGCAGCTGGCTCTGCACTGTGAAGTTTAACAGCAGCTAGGGAACTCCATCTTGCAAACAGCTTCACGGCATTCTATTAGTTTGCTTGCCTACAGATACCCGAGTTAATCATCTGTTGCTAAAATGGCAAATAAATTTTCAGTAAGGCTTCCCTTCCTGGAGGCCTACTGGTGTTTGTTCCTCACTGCAGAGGATCTGAAGAGTGGCTGTTTTCAAGCCGGGCCTAATTGCCAGACACTGGGATACATCCTTCCATTTTAACATTAGCTCAACTGACTTCAGTGGTTATTTGTCCAGCATGTATATTAAAGTCAGCATGGCTTCTAAGCACAGACCTGCAGTACTAGATGCTTGACACAATAACGTTTTGTTGGCTTCATATAAAAATAATCATTTTAAAGCACTAACTTTCCCAAGGCATCATCCACATCCCCACGGCTTGGTTCTTGACCTCGAATTCTTCCACGGCAAGTTAAAGGCATGAGTTCATCCGCTGGATAGGCATGTTCCTATTCATTGGGGGGGGAAGGAGAGCATAAACAAAAGGGGACACACAGGGTATATGCATGGTTTTCTTTCACTGTGGAAATCTGCTTCTCCAGAAAGCAACACTGCAGAATGCTCCACACACCTTTACCACACTGAATCAGCATTTACTAGTCAAATAATAAAAAAGACTGGGGGAGGAGGAGAAAGAGAGGAGCAACTAGACATCCAAATAATAATGAAAGGGAAACATTAGTGAAATCAAGACACTGCAAGTGAGTGTGATAGCAGTATTGGGGGGGGGAGACACTCCTTATTTACACTAAGCACAACTATACATCAGTGTTCTGTGCCCTACCTGCATACATTTCCTTCATGATTCCCACCCCTTCTGTAGACCTGCTCTTGTTGCTGGAGTTATTCAAAAAGTAAGCTGAGAAACCTTCACAGTATCAAAACTCAGCCCCTCAAGCAGCAGGAGGGCACTACTTCACATAATGCTGTCAAACCTCACTTCCTGAAGTGGGTAGGCTTTAGTGAAGGCTTTAGTGGATAAACATATGGAGCAGAGGTCCATCAGTGGCTATTAGCCACAAGGTATAGATAGGAACTCACAGGCTGGGGCAGGTGATGGGGGGCTTGAGGGGGGAAACAGTGCAAGGGCTTCTAGTGTCCTGGCCCCACTGCTGGACCTCCTGATGGCACCTGGTATTTTTGGCCACTGTATGACAGAGTGTTGGACTAGATGGGCCATTGGCCTAATCCAACACTGGCTTCTCTTATGTTCTCTTAAGGCTGAAGTACAGCAGCATGCACAGGACGTTTTGGGGGGTTTTTGCCATCAAGTCACAGCTGACTTATGACAACTCTGTAGGGTTTTCAAGGCAAGAAACATTTGGAGGTAGTTTGCCATTGCCTGCCTCCGCATCATAACCCTAGTATTCTCTGGAGGTCTCCCATCCAAATACTGACCGGGACCAACCCTACTTAGCTTCTGCGATCTGGCAAGATTGGGCTAGCCTGGACTATCCAGGTCAGGGCAATGCACAGAAGTACAAATGCATAGTGCATAATACCCCAAGGAAGGCAAGTGGAGGACAGCTTAACTATACACAGTTACTCCAGTTTAAGACCACAGATTTCAGTGGGCCTAGACCAGAGTAACTCTACACAGGATTGTGCTGTAAGAGTGGTTGCCTATTGTTTCCAGGGCAAACTCAGTGGTAGAGCATCTGCTTGCCATGCAGAAGGTCCCAGGTTCAATTCTTGGCATCTCCAGTTGAAAGGACCAGGTCACAGGCGATCTGAAATGCCTCTACCCTGGAGAGCCACAGCCAGTCTCAGTAGACAACACTGACCTCGATGTACCAAGACTCATATTCAGTATAAGGTAACTTCATGTGTGTGCAGACACCTCACTCCCTTGTTCTGGGATAGGCTCCCTGCTTCCTTCACTCAGACAACTGTGGACAGTCCCTCTTTGGGGAGGGGGACTATCCCCACCCCATACACAAGTGACCCACAAAGGTCTTTTATATAGTAAAAGACAAGTGTAAGAGAAAGGAGTGAGTTGACCAGTAGTTCCTACTGCTGCATTTAACAGCCATTTAAATAACCTGATCTCTTTAGTACCACCAAAACAAGTATTTCGAAGCGCAACTTGTATTGGTGCAAGGTTATGATCAAATATGCAGCACACCTACTTTTCTGGTACTGGCAGGAAATAACATACACAGCAAACATAAATGGACGCCCCCTTTATGAATACATAATCTCTAGTTTTAAAGCAATGTGTCTTCTAACAAAAATTAACAGTAGCAAGCTTTTAAAAAATTAGTACTTCACAGCAGCCTGTAAGTCTTAACATCAAGTGTCTGACATTGTACCCTTTATAAGTGTCCAAGTTAAACAAGCACAGAGGTGCCGTTTATTTATTTTATGCCCAGCATACGTGGCAAATAAATATCCTTTCACCTTTAAAGCTTCCAGGACATTCCTAACATCCTGATAACCCAAACACTTCATGCCACGAACACAGAAAAGAAAGCCAGTTTCTGATAATCTATAATCGCCTCTTTGTTCTGTGAGTTAATCCCAGTTTACAAAGGAGGTTTATCATACAATATAGGTTCCGTCTTAAATGTGCCAAACAGCTTTGTCCAACGCTCTATATACAATAGAGATTAACCTGGGTTCAGATTCCTACTATTGAATGAAGGCATTTTCACAAATTATATTTTATACTTGGGAGCAAATTCCAAGATGCAAAGCATAAACACACAGCACCAATACAAACAGTGAATATACACATGATGAGCTTGTTGGGCAAGCATCTAAGGAAGTGTCAAGCTCACACGTGTGTATTTACAGGGGGAAAAACAGGGCTTCACACTCATCATACACGGCTACGTTTTTTTTCAGGAAGTGGTAATTTGTATGTTTCTGTTCATTAGTAACTAGACTACTAAACACTTCTGAGGAGTAAAACATTTCAGATTCTTTGCCTCAATCTTTAAAAACAGTAATCTTTATAGTGCTGAGGAAGGTCAGAATCCCCCTCCTAATGCAAATATAGAGATTATGATAATCTGCCTAAGGCTACCTAGTGAGTTTGGGGATATGGTGGCGTTTGAATCAGGAACCTTACACTCCTAAACATGGAAGCTACATTTTGGCCCCGGTCACATGGAGCATTAGGCATGCTAGAGAGATGGAAGATAGGCGGATTTTCCGGGTGCGATCTCACTGCCACATCTGGGAAGCGTAGAGCTCCCGTGGCGCACCCGAGGCTTCCCGCCGAAGATGCGGGGTAAAAAACTAGTACCTCGGAGGTACTCGTTTTCGGAAACCACGGGGCAAGGGCGGGTGTCTGATAGCGTTTCCGGTGGTAGTTCCGGTGCCCGCCCATGTCCCCTCGCAAAAAGGGTTTTTTTCCCCAAGTCTCCATGGATGCACACAAGCATACAATGGAGCATGCGCACGTTTCAGTTTAAAAAAAACCCCACAACCCCGTTTGTCGCGCTGCTCCGCTTCTTTGCCGCGTCGTGTGATCAGCACCTCCCCCCTAACCACGGGAGCTCGACGGGACCTCAACCCGACGCCTGATTGCGCAGTCGCGCATTAGTTTGCTCCAAGACAAACAGCGCCCCCCCCCCCCCCCCCGCATTTTCCTGCCCGTGTGGCTGAGGCCTTTGAGTTATTGTAATTTACTAATGAACACTGGTTAGTGGAATTAGCAGATTCCTCTTTCTATCACAGTTCACATCTGTAAAAAATGATCCCCTGTATCATTACATGTCATACTTTACACACATGAAGTACCATTTTCAAAAGTTAAATTTTGTTCCTTAAAAGGGTTAGCATATGTGAGAAGTAAGCTTGCATGAGAATTAAGTGTGCACAAGCTGTCCCAAGAGGCAGCTGTTTGCTGTGGGTGAGCAGGTGCATATTTCATCAGAAAGTAAACACAAAAGCCCAGGAGTGAAGCACTAAGGCAAGGATCATGAAGGATCACTGTTTTCTCTGGGCTGGACCTCGGATCAAAGGATGGTTTGCATGAACCACAGCTGAGAACCTGGCATACAAGGAAATCACAGCTAGAGCTGCTTGTCTGCTTCCATTCCTATCGGCCTGCTAATCCAGCCACCTCCAACCGCAGCTGCCAATTCCAAGATTCAAAGCACAAACACACAGCGCCAGTTTGAACAGTACATGTGCACACAGTGCACTTGTTGTGCAAGCAATTAAGGAAGTAGCAACCACCATAATAACGGGTCTGGCAATCAAGCCAAAATGGTAGTTAGCACAAACAGCCTCAAACCACAATCTCCAGTTCTGCTTCGGCCAACCAACTGCAAACTAGGGGTGGCCAATTCAAATCACAAGATCGCTTAAGATTGCCGAACCCTCTTCATGAAGTTTTTGCAAGATACCTGGAGTGAAGCAACTGTGGTACAGTGGTTAGAGCTTCAGAGTAAGGTCTGGGAGACCTGGGTTTAAATCACTAGTCTCCCATGGAAGCTCACTAGGTGAGTCACATGCTTTCAGCCTAACCTACCTCACAGGGTTGTTGTGAGGATAAAAAAGGAGGAGAGGAGAACGATGTACGTTGCTTTTTTCCCCACTGAGGAAAAAGCCAAGGTATAAATGAAGTAAATGAATAATAAATATGGCTGAAGATGGGAGGCAGATAAAATGGCTGCAAAGGAGAGAATGAGGCAAGGGAAGGGGAGAGGATATGGGGGTTGCCAGGAGGAGGTAAAGAGGAAATAACATGGGGAAGGAGATACAGGGGAAAGTGATGTTCCCTCCCAACTCCTTGAGGATTCTGTATCATGCAAGGGGGCTTGGCGGCTGGCACCACACAACTGGGCCATAGTTTTCCTAGGTAGGGCCTGCTGGTCATGAGGGAAAGCTGGAGGCAGAGGGACAGAAAAAGCTAGGTTGGCTGGTTGCTGTCAAGTACGCAGTATAAATGCTTAGCTCAGGATTGGTGGGAAGTACAGAAGGAAGCAGAAAAGGGGGAAGGCTACGGGTGCTTTCAGGGAAGGGAAGGAAAAAAGGAGACGGTGGGGGAGGGAGTCATGAGATGCCCCCCCCCCGCCAAGTCCTTGAGGGTTCCCATTTGCATATATACATAACGCTCTTTTGAGCATGTTTTTGTAAGCTGTTAGGAAACCTGTAGTGAAACCCATAAACAAAGATTGAGTAGAGGCAAACACATTCAGAAACAGAAATGTCACTTAAAAAAAATCAATGAAACTTGTTCCCATTCCATTTATTTTGGATCAGAATACGTGATACCAATCAAAGTACTAGCATAACATTCAGATACATCTCATTACTCACAACTCACAGTCTCTACACAGTGCACATCATGTGAAAGACTCCCAGAACAGTAGCTAAAACTGATAGTTAAAAAAGATTCAGAATGATATATCAGGTTTCTTACCATGTAATTACTATAGGCATGATCAAACATTTCCAACACTTGACCCCTGTGAAAAACACAAAAAACACAGTGTGATTTAGGGCCAATTCAGATGACCTCTGTTAGATTTAAACAGAAGTTAATTAAGTTTACGCACATATTTGAAAATCTACAGAATATCCGATTATCATTTGGCCAGTTAAGCACGTTAAACAAAGGTTACCAGTAAGAGTATGTGGCATTTCTGGATTTCAGAAAGAGTCACTCAACACCACCTACAGCTACACAAGCTGGCAAAGGAGGCCCAGGAGAACCCAGCATGGATTAATTCTTTAATATCTGTTTTTGAAACCGGAATTTCTTAAGACAAGACAGCAATCAAGCAAATGACAGATACCATATACAAGACTCAGGCAGCATGGGAGATCTATGCACACACTTCTGATGCTACTGTGACATGCATCCAAGGCTGGTTCACCACCCCAAATGATCACTTGGGGCACCAAGTCATCAGGGCAGCAGGTGTGACTTGTGCCTGTTGCCACTGCCCAGCTCCAGCAGAGACAGCCTATGTGCTTGTGCCACTGCCAAATGGAGCCAGCGGGAATGTACAGGAGCAAGTGTGGCCCAGCCACTTGTGCTGTCAGGGGGGGGGGGGAACCACATGGGAAAACACTGTGTGCATCCACACTGTAAAACAAATTCAGAGGGGATCTCGATGTACATTACTGCCTGCAGTCTAAGTCACTGGTGCTTAGACGCCTAGTATTCCACATGTTGCACAACTTCAACTTAGCACAGTTGGCAAAATATGGGGCAATCCCCCCTATGGATGGTGCGAGTCACTACCAGAGGCAACATGTCTCAACTCAGTTCTTGCTCAAATTCTGACAGTGGGAGAAAAGGCTGTGCAGCTTTTTCCACAAGGGCTAATACATGCCCACAAAACTACCAGGGTTGCTTTCTATTTTTCCAAAGGCTTACCACTGACTTACACAACATAATCCACCTTGAGAACTCAGTAAGAAAGACAGATGATGTATATAGTAAACAAAAGTAAAAATTCCCAGAAGTCCTCATTGCCGAGGACTGAGTCATACCCCACTTTTTCTCTCACCTGTGGAAAGCTGAGCCATAGCTTAATTTTGCCCTAGCTAGATACACTGAGAAATCTTGCTGTAGCTTTCCAATCACGTGTGATGATGAATCGAATGCTGAAGATTCTGCATCACTTGTTCAAGACTGAAGGTGTGAAGGATATGTCATATTCATGCCGACACTTAAGAACTCCTCCACACTTTAAACTTCCCTAAACTCTCATGGACACTTCCACCTTTGTTCCAATTTGATTTCTTAACCAGAGCAGGTTCGAAGCCATTGTGTGGAACAAACATGGAGCAGCTCTGCTTGTGGAAGTGATAACTTTGATATGATGACGTAGTGCAGACATTCCTCCGCTGCAAGCATTCCCCTTCTGTTATCTGAATCACTGCCCACATCTTCAAAGTTACTTTTCAAAGTTCAATAACAATTAAAGCTAAGTAAACTGTTCCACTTAGTAGTGAGACTGGATGATAAAGCTGCAACAAGTCTACTATGTCCCTCATTTTAGTAATTCAGATATAGATAACTAGTCCATTCACACTTACAGTTTGACAAGAAAACTAAAAAGTAGGATCTACAGGTATTATTCAATTAACAGGAATAATCTGAATCAGCCTGAGGAATAAGGAACAAAATTAGCTAGCTTTATCATCATTTATGTAACTTCATTGACAGGAACTGAAAGGGACAGGGCACAATATGAGCAATATTCTGATGGAGGGACATTGCTAGAAATTCCCAAACAAAAGCAGCAAGCCAATAATGTGGCACAGTGGCAACCAGGCAGTCTACAGTTCTAGCTCTTTGCTTCTGTCACCGAGTTACCAGATTGCAGAAGGAAAGACCTTAATGTGTGGATGGCCACAACAACTCTTGATGATGCAACACTAGGGCTTCTCTTGTTCTATGCACAAGTTAATGTCTTTTTTTATTCCCAAACAATATGCAATGGATAATCTTTTTCCTCTATTATGGGTGCAGAATGATCTCTAATTTTTTTATTCCTTATGATAGCGAGAATTGTCAGGATTCTCACAAGAGCCACTACAACCGGCATTTATCCGATCCTCAATGGCTGCAGAAATACTACAATCCCATGGGTACTCACGGCACACCACTCAACACAACAAATAAAAGTAGAACATGCCCTCCCCCACTTCCTTTTATCACTCGATTAAATCATTCACTTGATTAAATCATTCACGTATCTTTTTTCCAGTACAACACTGTTAATATATGCACTGGCATCTAAAAACCGTTAGACACAAACAGCATGCCAATTTAAAAGGTAATTTAATTCTGCTTCCAATGAAAAGTGTTCTCCAGTATTACTTAGGTTACCTGCATGAAACATCGTCTGCTTTTATGTGCTAACTGCTCACTGAAATATCTAACACACCTAAACCTGTAACACCTAAACTACTGAATCATATCCAACAGCGCCTCCAATGAACACAAGACTCGTCCTTAATGAGCAGAATGGTACCTCAGAACACTTTGTTCCCTTGTTGGTAATACCCAAAATAATTATATTTGGAACCATATGTTTCTGAATTGCCCAACACCCGCACAAGAAGAGTCAGATTCCATGGACTTTAAAAGTAATTTATCGTGCGGGAAAAGCCATTATTCATAAGCAGGCAAGTGCATAGAAGCTATTTTCTAAGACATTACTGTGCCCTCCAAACATTACTAAGCCTCTCATTTCTACACCTCAAAGTAACTTAATGAAGCATGATATTTCTCTGAACCATTATTGCCTACACATTACCACTCTAAGCTAGTATAAATGAAAAACCTCTCCAATGCCACATATATTCAACAGCGAACACTAAACTGCTACTTTCAGATGCAGCACCATGTCATCAGCTTTATATCTTCAGAAATATATCAGAAAATATCATCACCATAATGAACCTGACCCAATTATACATTTCAGAACTATCAGCATAAGTCAAGCCAATGGCTTCCAGGTGCTTACCTAAATTTCTAGCCGACCCTACTTTGGAAGTGAAAGGCAAGCAGTAACTTTAAGCCAACCATACAAGATGCCAATCAAAAAACATGATGAAAGCAAAGCATTCCATTACCTAGAGTTGGTGTGATTAATCAAAGTCAGTCATAATAAGCAGCTGAAAATGCTTTAATGCAGGGGTGTCAATCCCGAGGGCTGGATCAGGCCCCTGGAGGGCTTCTATCAGGCCCACAGTGGAGCTGGCTGTGTTCTGCTTCTTCCAGTTCTGCTGCTGCTGCGTCATCATAGGTTTGCGGCTTACAGATACACATCTTAACAGCATACTCAAGATTGCAACAGCACAGACATTTTGATGCAATAATTCAGAGCAAGAGGTGTCAGTTATCATATCATGTTAAATAAAATACTGCAAGAGTGCTGATGTTTTAAGCATGTTTTTATTTTAAGTTAAAAAAAATCCTTTGTGTTTGTGTCCTTTATAAAGTTTATATCTCCGCTACCTGGCATTACATTTTATGACACACATGGCCCGGCCCAACAAGGTCTCATTTATGTCAGATCCGGCCCTCATAACAAATGAGTTTGACACCCCTGCTTTAATGAGTATGCTTTCATCTTTGACTGCCTTTACCCATTAACACAGGGGTAACTGTGGAAGTGGATCCCAGGCTTTTGCAGTCTTATTGATTTGTGTGCATGCTCTGCTTTTTAAGTGGGTCACACAGCACAGCAAGTAAATCTGGACTTGCCAGTCACCATACCATAAAGGATGGGAACCACCTTTCTATGATGCTAGTTACCATCTCCTGCTCACAGATATTAATGAGAAAAAAAACCCCAACACAGCCAATTTCATTTTTACTGTTCTCTCTGATTGAGGACCCAAAGTGGCTTTTCGCATCATCCCCCCTCCCACTTAATCCCTTGTGAGGGTAGGTTATGCTGAGAGATCACAACAGGCCCCAAGGTTACCTGGTGGGCTCCCACACTTGAGTGAGGGATTCAAACCCAGTCATCCAATGGTTTAGTCCAAAGCTTTAACCACTACACCACACTAGCCACAAAACTGGACAATGTTGATCCACAGGTATTTTTCCGCAGGCATCTAAACCAAAACTACCACTGTATAAGAAAGGATTGTGTCTGAAGATGTGGTAACATCTTCTGTTCATACAACCTGACTGAACACTTCCCTGAAGCACAATAAGCCAACTTTCAAGCTCATTACAAAAACAAAGCAGAGCATAAGTGCAAACCACACCCAAACAGATGTTCTGAAGATGAGAACTTCAACAGAAACTAATAAGCCACAAGGGCTTTTTGCATAAGGGCTTCCCCAGGACTGTTAACCTGTTGTTTCTGAACTGATCAAATATGCATGGCTCCCTTGACACCTCCTTATTGGACTGTAGCAGTTATTTTTAGTTCAGCTTCTACATGGCTATATTTCCATTTAAAGATACTTGATCATATAAGCAACATCCACAACACCAAGTAAGGTGGCAAAAGGGTCAGCACCTGCTCCTATATGTTTCACAAGCTCTTTCTATTTTGAAGCTCTCCCATAACAGCCAGAAAATTCATAAATACATAAGAAATTGCCTATTTGTTTCACAGTTAATTATTTCTCAAGAAACACTATGGTGGAACGGAATATGTCCCACAAATAATGAAAACAGGTGATGTATTTGCTACTTCAGCTGACACAAGTGCAATATCCCAGAGCCACAGTTCACCTGTAGTAAGGGGGGAAATGCCTCTAAATGAGACCAACTCAGAAAAAGCCACCCCTCCCCTCAACCTACAATAAAAGAACTAAAGGGGGGTGGGGGGTCAGGGGAAGAACAGGAAAGCTCAATTATCGAATTAAAACCACCCCGACTAGAGATCCAAGAAACCCTTTGACACCCTTCTGACTTTATCTCACAGACACCGTTCCACGGCTGACCAGCCTCAATGACGCTCCGGTTTAAAGAGGGGGGCTATTCCCACTCCTTGGAAGTGACAGGGTGACCTCTCCGGGCTCGGCCGAATGAAAGGAGAAGGGAGCGAACAGAACAGGTCACCTTCCCTCCCTCTTACCCGAGGCGGCGTTTCTCCTCCCTGCTCATGGCCTGAGCGGCCGGGGCTGCCACCAGCACCGAGGAAGCGGAGAGAAGGCCCAGAGCCAGCAACTTCCAGCCCGCCCAACGGCTTGCTGGGGAGTCGCCGCTCCTTCCCTCCCCACCAGCCGCTGCTCCGCTCATGGCGGTAGCTGCTCCGCTAGGCCCGACTCGGTCCCATCCCTCCAAGAGCAGCCGCGCCGCTTCCGCGACAAGTGAAGGGACCGGCCCTCCTCTCTATCTTTTTTCCCTTTCTCTCCACCGTAGCCAAGGAAACAGAGATCCTCTCGTCTAGTGGCTTCCGGGTTTCCCTTCCGGTAACGTGACAGTCGAGATGGACAAGAACCAATAAGAAGGAAGGGCTCGTGCCACCTGATGATGCGTCATACGCTCCCAGATCCAAGGGCTACGTGGAACGGATGCGCACGCTTGCGCGTGCGCAGAACTCTTAAAAGTAAAAGGGACGTGGCCCTTAAGCGGCAACACGCGCCTTTCCTTGCTGCGAAGTTTATAGGTTGTTGGTTAAGGATGTTGGGAGTTGTAGTCTCTAGTTTGTTTCATTATATTTGTATTGTTTGGTTATGCTTTTGGATTTGGAAAAGTGGATTTTGTTGTTGATTTGTGTCTTTTTAATAGTGGTGAAATGACATTTATGGCGGTGTTATTGTTTTATAGCATGATGTATAGAAAGATGCGATAGAGAAGAGATTGGATTTATATCCCGCCCTTCACTACCCAAAGGTGTCTGAGCGGTTTACAATCTCCTTCCACCCCCCCAACACACAACAACAGACTATGAGGTAGGTGGGGCTGAGAGAGCTCTGACAGAAACTGCTCTTTTTCGAGGACAGCTGTGCTAGAACTATGGCTTGCCCAAGGTCATCCAGCCAGGTGCAAGTGGAGGAGTGGGGAATCAATCCCGGTTCTCCCAGATTAGAGTCCCTGCACTTAACCACAACACCAAGAGCCCCAGGTACTACTAAGTAGGGTTGCTAGGTCTCCTCCACCGGCCACTGGTGGGGGATGGGTGTTGTAGGGTTGCCAGATCCAGGTTAGGAAACTGCTGGTGATTTGGGGAAAGAGCCTGTAGAGGACAGGGACCTCAGTGGAGAACAATGCCACCAGAGGCCACCCTCCAAAGCATCTATTTTCTCCAGGGGAACTGATCTCTGTAGTCTGGATGAGCTGTAATTCCGGGAGATCCTCAGGTCCCACCTGGAGGCTGGAATCCCTAAACCTTGGCCAGACCGGGGAGCATCTACACGTCCTCAGTCCATCATTACCAAGTGAAATACAGCCTCTGAACCAAATCCAACAACAAAAGCCAGGTGATGTAGGCTTTTGAATTGTCTAGAACTCTTCATTTTCCTGAATTATTTGCATTTATTGTGACTGTGAAGATATGCAGATTTTCTCCTTTTGGGAGAAAGAAGTATAAAATGGAAGCTTTCTTTGATATTTTTTAAAGCATCCACCTGAAGAAGAGTTCTGGAGAACTCAGAAGCTTGCACACAGTTTTCATTTGGTTGGTCCCAAGACTGGATAGACCTGAAATACCAGCTGTGGAGCTCCCCGGTCTCTCTCTTAAGCAAACCTAGCTGGCAGGGTTCTTGTGATGGAACAGCCATACTGGCCTGAGCTTTTCAGGTAAAGAGTGGGGTACCAAATGGAGAAAGCAAAATACCATACAGTAAATTATTGTGGACAAAAATCTAGGTGGTCAACCATGTTGGTCTGAAGCAGAATAAAATTAAGAGTCCAGTGGCACCTTTAAGACCAACAAAGGTTTATTCAAGGTATGAGCTTTTGTGTGCACACACATTTTTCAAATACATTGGAATGGTGTGTAAGGTTCAAGCTTATAGGCAAGGAAATTAACTTGTAACATGATGGTGTTTTAAGATATAACATGTAACATGATGGTGTTTAAGATAAAGTCAAAAATAACACACTAAGGTTATAAGGTCAACAGTTGTAAAGTAATAAATATGTTCAAATAGCAGATAAATGTCTAAAGGTGTCTTTTTTCTAATTGTGGGAAGCAAACTGAGAATCTCCATTCCCTTCTTCCAGGCGTGAAGATGACTTAACAGCACTTTTTGAGGTGGATGAAATGTCATGTCATCAAAACATCCCAATATAACAGAAATGTTACCTGCTGGGCCTTATATGCCCGTGCCTCCTAGCCTTTTAGGAGCCGTAGTTTTTCACAAGGGGAACAGGATCAAAATGGAATGGATTGTTCCAAAGAACAATACTCTGTGAACAAGGATCCTCAACGTTGTTGAGCCTGCAGGGACTTTTGTAACTTTGATAAAGGAAGTGTTCTCAGACAGTAGCAGTTATGGAAGGGTAGAGGCAATCACAAAATACGAGGAAGGACTAACTTCTTGCTTTGAGGAAGGCTGTTGTTTGGCTTGCTTCCAAAGAAAATATGTGTCTGTGGTCAAGTCAGGGGTGCTTGGCTGTGAGTGATATACCTGCTTGGGGTGACATCAAAACTTCCCTCATCAGCTGCCAGCAGGACAACCAACTCAGCCTTGGGAAATCCCTGGAGATTTCAGGGATTGCCTGAGATGGGCAGGGAATTCAGTGGGGATATGATGCCATGAACCCCACCCTCCAAAGCGGCCATTTCCTCCAGGGGAACCGATCTCTTGTGCAGATTTGTGGTAATTGTGTAACTCCAGGCCTCATCTGGAGGTTGGCAACTTTAGCTAAACCTCCCAGGTCACATTAAGGCTGATTGGTTAAAATAAACTCCCAACAAAGCATTTTGACCATACCTTCCCAGATCATTTGCATGGGGAATGCCATTTGTGAATCTGCCCAGTCATGAATTTAGCCATCGGAACAAGGCAGTGGCTGAAGAAAACTATCTATATGGTCCTGAAAGCTGTTGCTGTAAATGTATGTGTAGACCATCTGGCCAACTTATACTTATCATGGGGACACATGTAACCACTATGATTCCAGATGCATCACATGAATATTGTTTGACTCTAACATACAATACCAAATCCTGAAAACAGTATAATTATGTTCTTTCGAGTTACGATTCTAGTAAATCTCAAAGACACTTTTGTCAAACTGTGACTGTCAAGATTTGGCTCCATGCAAAGAATCCTGACTATCCTGCCCAAACTCATGAGGAATTTAGTATATGAATCTTGGAGCATTTACAGAGGCCTGGCGGCGATTATAAAGCTGTAAACCATTATAGGAATGGTTTGTAGTCAAAATGTATTTCACACAAAAAATACCCTGACCATTCCTGAATGTACTGTTTAGGAGGAGGATGCAATGTATGAACCATTAAGCCTGTCCCCTGATACCATCAAAGCATCCCAGCAGCCATTTCTCCAATCAAGGCATTTGAGAAGGCACCATAATTAGTTCACATATTGCATTCTCCAAATGAACACAAGTGTGTGCAAATTCATAAGTGGTCCCAAACGCATCACACAAAGCCATCATTTTGAACATGTCAAGTAGTCCAAACACTGTGTAATTCTTATCCACAAAAATGTTTACAGCATGACCTCTCTAGAAATAACACAATCAGGAAGCATTCCCCATAACTACCACCACACAAACATCCAAAAATATACACAGCATGAGATGATAATATTTTATTTTGGCACAAGCAACCGAGAACTGTAAAGCACATTATATTTCATCAACCGAGAACTGTAAAGCACATTATATTGTATTTCAGATTCTCTGTTCAGTCAGGTGGTTAATCAGGTGAAGTGTGTACATATAAAGTATACTAAATGATACCTTGAACATACTGCTTTTGGGGAAAACAGTGCTTTTGGAAATAACAAAACGGGGGTGAAACAACCATATTTGTTAGTCAAAATTCTCAAAAAATGTAAGAATCAAAAGTCTGCCTTTTAAGGATGCAATCCTAAACATACTTGGAAGCAGGAAGGTACAGTAATGTTAAAGAAATCAATAATAATGTGTACCTGCTTAACCAACATCCAGGCAAATTATTATGCTTCTAATGAGTTGTTAATAAATCTTTTTATATTTTGGTTACTGTTATGCCTTGGTCTTTGTGTCTATTCATCCTATGTCTAGTAAATAATAAACTACCAAGGTATAAAAAAATGTGCCCTACCTTGAAGGCTAAATGGTGGCTGTAGAAAATAAGATTAAATAATGAAAAGGTAATTTGTGTGTGTGTGTATGGTGCTGTCAAGTTGCAGCCGACTCTGTAGGGTTTTCAAGGCAAGTGATCAAGCAGACATGTTCTGCCACTGCCTTTATCTGCAAAGTTTTCCTTGGTGGTCTCCCATCCAAGTACTGAGCCAGCTTAGCTTCTGAGACCTGACAAGATCAGGCTATGTTATACCATTCCACATCCCCAAAAGATAATTTATAAAACGCATAAATCCCTGTTCCAACCTGAATATTTGGCGGTAATAGGAAGGTGTGATAATCACCACCACCTCTAACCATTCACCAAATAATCTGGTGTCAGTGCGGACGGGACAACCCAATCTAATCCCCTTCCCCCAATTCTCCCCACTTGCTATCTGCTATGCACAGGACTACGAGATGCAAGGAATTACATGCAATTAGAATTTGAAACGGAGATGAGCACCGCAACCCTAGAGTTGAATTCGACTGGCTTTCGAGCAAAGGAACCTTTACCTTTAGAATACACAAATTAGTTCCAGATCTATGGCTTATGATACATTTGCAGCATGGTCGTCTGTATTACACACCTATCTACATAAGATCCTGTCCTAAAATCCAATCCTAAAATATTGTTCCTAGACATTATGTGCGACATTTTCAAGCAAGTGGTTCACTGAAGACATGCTTCAATGTTCACATGAACCAGCCTAATAGATGGGTTTCCCACCTACTCCTGCCTGCCGCTGACTACACAGAGGCATGATCCATAGCTTATCCCATCAGATTCAGGACCTGCCTTTGAACTTTCTGATGTGATTAAGGCCATGATGGGCACACTTTTTGGAAAGTGTTTCTCAAATCAAGTCCAAAGTACAAGACAGTGCCATTTCAATACATTAGCAGCCTCTCACCCTGTGATGTGATTTTGCCCCTTACCTCCTGAACTACGAGTAGAAGACAGAACAGGCTATGAAGGCTGGTTTGCCTGCCACTGCTGCTTCCATCTGCTCCTCTCATCTAAGGCTGCCAGTAACATTTACTGCCTATGTATACTAGCTGCAACCATGCCCCAGGTTGGCTGCCCGTGCATGAAGTCAAATCCTACATACTTTTCACTTTCCTGTAACAGAAGGTGGGTAAAAATGTATACTGAAATGTGTGTGTGTTCTAGGTTCAGGATCAACATTAATCATGTTAGTATTGTTATGAACTGTTTAAACAGCACTGTCATATAGCAGAGTTTCCTATAGCTAGATGCTATCAAGATATCAAGAGCGGTGGCACAGTGGGTATATCCCACTGTCTTAACATCCGAACTGTGTTAGTTCGAGCCCCGCGCTGGTGTGAGCAGCCAGCCTGTTGTCCCCAAGCTCATTGTCCACCCAGTGATTCGAAAGCTTCGGCGAGTAGATAAAATAGGAACCACTCCTTAGAGAAGGTGGGCACACCAATCTCCCTTGTGGGAGGGTGTTAGCTGACGGTCGGAACTTCCTGGTTGAGGTCGGGAAAAGGCGAAATAACTTCTCAGCTACAAAAATCCCTGCAGTGGATGTTTCCGGCCAGGTGGTGGCAGTGTGGCGATGTGACATACGGGTCCTGAAGCCTGGTCAACAAGCAGCCGTTCGGAAAATGACTGAGCCAAGCCAGAAGACGTTTACACCATGCAGTGACAGCGTGTGCAATTAAAAATGAATATATGTTGTCCTCCCTATCCCCTTTGAACATTGTTAGTCCCCTGTCTAATGTGTAACTGCACATTGCTTTGAGCCCACTGGGGAAAGCGATTAATAAATTGAAAGTAAAAAAATAATAATTCTGGATTCTCAGGTGTTATCTTTACTTTAGGATCTTTAATGTAATTGTGTTAAAGTGGATTATTTGTAATGCAGATTTGGTACACCTGTACTTTGAAACAGCAGATCTATCCATACCGTCCAACTTTAAAAAAATCCCAGAGCACTACAGGTTGGGCAGGATGGCAAGACCGTATATGCATACAGGAGGGAACTGTGGATACCCAGCCCAGTGTCAGAGATAAGGCAGACTCTTTCCTTTAATTTTCAGTTTGCATTTTTAAAAGGTAAGTCTGTAGCCTCTAGGGGGAATGTGTAGGAAATATTCTGATTGCTCATTATAAAGTAAACCTGGTTTGTGGCTTTCAGTGTTCTGATCAGTAGTTGCAAAGGCAATGGGATGATCTCACGACCTGCTCAGCTCTTGGCTCCTCCCTTTGACTAGAAGAATCAGAACAAACGATGCAAATATCTTAAATTATAACAACATTTGTGGCTCCTACCCTGCCACAAATTTTGTTAGTCTTTAAGGTGCTACTGGACTCTTGCTCTTTTCTGCTGCTACAGACAAACGTGACTATCCATCTTAAATTATATACAAGTTGCATAATTTATGTTTCCTTGGTGCTGGTTTTGAGCTGCCTTGGCGTATTTCTATTTTTTTATTTTTAAATATAGTCCAGGCTAAGAAACTGCAGAACTGGAACCAAGTTACTGTAAATGTCTGTCATTCCCCATATAACTATAAAGCACTCTGCAGAAGGTGCAGAAGAAGACAGAGAAACCTGCTCCAACTATTCTGGACTGCATAAATAAGGGTTAATAATAATAATAATAATAATAACAAAAAAGGAGGGGAGCAGGATCAGACCACTCCACTGTCAAAGTATCGGTCAAAGCTTTTAAATACAGAAGTGACTATCTAGCTATCAAAGGTCAAAATTGTATACATAGTTATGCTGCATGAAGTATCAATAAGCAAATTTCTCCCCCCCACCCAACTATTTGCGTTAAGCAAATCCTATACATTATATTATCCCTTAATTGCAACTGATTTTATCATAGTTCTGACCAATCACTGCAAGCTTCATCCATCTGCATGGGTCCTGCATTTTACAAAGCCACAGTGAATATTTACAGGGTATATTTAAGGAATTTAAAGGACTGTTTCAAGGAATTCCAAAGGCTTTAAAATGTTTTGTGAACCTAGCATCAATGGACTGCACCAGTTTCTGGTGACAATGACTAATTTTCAGTTGCCTCATTCCAAGTCATTAGACTAAACGAAGCAATAGCTGATGATGCAGAGATGATTCAAACAATCAAAATTCTCATCAAATAGCTGCAGATTCAAAGTACCGGCACTCTCAAATAGGAATTCATAGTATGAATAAATTTCTCCATCCCAGCTTTAAAGGGACTTTGATCATAACGATTCAGGCCTTGCACTTTCAAAACAACCCCTTTCTTCATTTCTCTCACTGTGATTCAGGACAATTGCCTCCAGCACTTTCCTGTGCGCCCATTTCTCCTTCTGTCAAATCTGCAACATCGGCATTCTGCAAAGACAAACTTGCAGGCATAGAATCACCCCCCTCAGACAAGGTGAAGCTTTGGGACTGTGTGTTCACTGAGATCTCCACAATGTTATCCTCATTCTCTTTTATTTCTGGAGAAATTGGCAGATCAGCTGACTCTACTCTCAAATTTGCAATATTCAAAATAGTAGACTCTTGTGTTTCAATGGAACAGCTAGGGGAAATCTGAGAATCTGCTTCGGGTGGGACAGAATGAAGAAAGGACTGTCCAGATTCTTCATTTCCAATATGGGGCCCTACCTGTGGACTGTCATCCACTGAAGCACAACGAAGGGTACAAAATCCCCCCTCCACCTGCTCAGATTGTTCTCTTTCAACATGTTGTTCCACTTGTGGCTTCTCATCGACCGGGATAAGGTGAGTAGGGGGAAGATCTAGTCCACTCTGGTCAGACTGTCCACCTTCCGCATGTTGCTTTGCTTGAGACTGGTCATTAGCACTGCCACTGTCCACATCAGCATACCAGATGCTTGTCGTTGTCTCCAAATTGGCCTTTGAGGCCTGACAAACATCCAGTTCCTCAGACACATCTGGAGAATCTGCTTCAGTTCTGTGGCTTCCTTCTCCAGTGGTGCTTATTGCATTTATATAATCTGATTCAACAGTGGGTGAAAGAGAGAGGCTTGTTACAGCTATACTACCTGCTTCTACACTGGGTAGAAAAGGCACTTTAGGAGACTCCGGCACCTCACCTGTTCGACTCTCATCTGCAATCATTTTGTCCTCCTTGTCCCTTTCGTCTACAGATTCCTGTGCTTTTGGAATTTCACATTCACGTGCACTTCCTTTGTTCTCAAGTGGATCATCCGCTGGCAATTCTACTGTCAGGGTCAGCAAGTTTCTTATTTCATTCAAGCTATCAGGAACTGGTACCTTTTCCTCTTCCATTAGTACCTCATTTTCTGTTCTTGGACTTCCACTGAAATTTGTTTCTTGAACATCGGGAAGCTGTGGAGTTACTGTTTCCTCTGCAACCGTAAGAATCACAGAGGGGGATTCCTGCTTGCCACTGAGATCAGAGGTCATCCCTTCTTCCCTCCCTTCTGCAGGAAGACTAGAAACATTAGCAGAAATTCCTTCTTCACTGTCCAGTGTCTTTGCCGCCTCCTGGTAACCCTCCTGAGTGACTTCTGGCACAAACATGTCATTACTTTGAATGTCAGCATGTGATACCTCTGTCAAGTGGGCGACTGGTTTCCTAGCTGGGCTGGCTTGAGCTGATCCTGAAGGGGTTTTGAGGTCACTCAGGCTGGATACACTTTCAGAAGGAAGCTTTGTTTCCTCAAAGAGGTTGTGTTTCTTCAAGTGGGCAGCCTCTTTTATCACTAAAACAGAAAAGGGACGGAAAAAAACCAGCAAGAGATTATGCCATGCGGATGTAACAAAGGATGGGGGTGTGTGTGTGTGACGTGTAAAGTTCTCTGAAATCCAGGAGGATGGGAGTGGCCTTTCCCAGATGGACTGCTATCTTCTCTGGCTTCTGCCCCTAAGTCCCATTCTTGACCCACATTAGATGTAGACAGACCCTGGCTGCTGGCCTCAGTCTTGAGGAAAATCGTGACGGGGAAAGGATTGGATGGAGAAAGAGACAGCTCCCTCCCTTGATTGTGTTAACAGAAACAGGTCAAAGATATGGGTGGTATCAGGAAGTGGAATGACTGAGGGTAGAGGGCACAGCTTTACTGGGTGGAAGAGTATGATTTTGGCATCCTGATCTGCCTCAACCTCCCCCGCCAAAAAAAAAAAAATCAATGCACTGGGATTTTTCTTCTTCTTGAACTAGTATACTCAAGATGCAGCGGAACTGACTTTCATATTCATGATCTTTCAGTCAAACCAAATACTCCCAATAACTGGTGAAGTTCAAATCTGGATCTAAATTTTTCATCCATTTGTAACAGGCTAGATGTGATGTGATGTATTATCTCACTTGCAGGTGTGGATCAGAACAATGGCAGTTAAATGCTTCATGAGATTAAGTTTGACCTCTTCTCCTGAGAGGAGGGCCTAGAAAGACCAGCATCCAAGCAATGACCATTCTACTATCAGAGGCAACATAGCACATAGCTCTTTCCTACTTGGCCATTGGAAAAGTAAGACTTCTTATCCTGGGAGGAAGAGACCACAACATTTACTATGCAACAGAGTGCAATATATTGGGGAGGGGGAAGAAGAAGTGAAATTGTATTTTTAAAATGTTGTGAGCTGCTTTGAGAACTTTGTGCTTGAAAAACAGGACACCAAATAAGCATATCAGAAGCAAATTTACCTTTTAGGGTTTCAACAAGCAGAGTTTCAAGTAAAATCTCTTCGTATACATTTTCGACTTGTATCACACTGGTATGATCAGAAAAAATGAACTGTTCATATTTCTGAAGCTCCTACATAACAAGATACAACAAGAGAATAAACAAGATGGCCTTGTTCAATCAAATCTACTCAGGACCTAACTACACGATGCACAAAGAATTCAGTACACACATCTTCCAGTTGTTGGTTTTTTAAAAACTCACTTGTCAGGGGTGTGGGGCCCAATTTGGATTGGGATAGCAGAGCAAGTGGAAGGGGATTTCAACCAATGCAGAACAGCCCCAAAGAGCTGTCACTTGGAAAAGTTATGAGTGCTGCATGTACACACAACTTTTCCCAGTGGGCAAATGTGGGCTCCCTGATTCCAGTCGACATCATATGCCTGGCAAGTGAGCTTAAAAATTAGTTGAGTACGTGAACACATGAACCTGCCTTATACTGAACCAGACCATTGGTCCATCAAGGTCAGTATAGTCTACTCAGACTGGCAGCGGCTCTCCAGGGTCTCAGGCAGGTCTTTCACATCACCTACAACCAGGTCCTTCTAACTGGTTACAATGTACAAACAAAGCAAAAGGTAATCCTAATGCGACTATATAACATTTCCTTAACAAAGGCTGGTATTCTCTTTCACTTTCCTGTCTCTCTCCTGAGAAATGGGAAAGCCAAAGTTACAAGTTAAACCTCAACAAGAGAACAAAAATGGTTTCTCCAGATCCATCACCAAGGTTTCCCATGGCAACGGAGCCCCTCCCGATCAGTTCACCTAGTCAATAAGGTGGAACCTGTTGGATACTCTGGACTTGGTACTGCCAGGGAATCACGGAAAAGTAGCAGAGTGCTCAAAGGCTTTAATGCAGCAGAGCTTGGGGCTAGGTGTGGGAACAGACTTACAAAGTTAAACGGAGTCAGCAGTCAGTTCTAAAACTAATAAGTAACTTTTATTAAAGGAAATACATGCTTGAGAATGCAGGTATGGATTGCCTATTCTAACTAACTAGATGGTGTTGGACGCATGTCCAGCCTCCGTGGTGCAAGATGGAGATCAAGCACCTTCTTTGTGTGCGTGCGAGAGAGAAGAGAGTGAAAGCACAGAAACAGAGGAAATTGCCCCTAAGAGTAGCATTCTACTTCGAAGGAAAGGATCAGATAGCAGGAAGGAAAGGATGCTGTATGTGTCCTGACCTCTCTATCTGTCTAAACTCTTTGATGCCATCTTCTGAAGTGTGAGACAGGAGATAGCACGAAGTCCTACACTTCTAACAGAACCCTGTGATTACCTTGCTATACACAGCCAGACCTTGGCCCCAGATGTCCCAGGTAAAAGACTAATCCGTGTCAGGGGGAAAGTATTTGAGGTTGTGGTGGCAGAACAACCCCAGGATTTCCTGAATGATATATCTGCCCTTGACTGTCTGGCTTCATGCCTGCACAAAGATGGAGTTATGTGCTCTGGTGGTCACTGGTGGGCAATCTCCACCTTCCCCTTGATAAAGGCAATGGCTCTGTTAGTTTTATTCGATCAGTCCACAGCCTTTGAAATGGCTGAATGTGCAATTCTGTATTAAGACACTGGAAACAGAGTTGGCATTACTTAATTGTTCCTGGCCATTTTTATCAGACTAAATGTAGAAAGCAGTTATTGCCAATTCTGAATCTGCAGCTTAGGAGCTCTAAAGTGGAGTCTTATGGGCATCAGCACTATCACCTGTGTTGCTGAACATCTATTGGAGACTGCTGACTAAGATCATCCAAATACTTTGGAGCGGGCAATCATCAATAGCTGATGGCAAAGCAGTAACCCTCCAGAAGCAGCCATCTTTGTGTTAGGCCACTGCTTAGAAGCTGTGGTCAGGAACATGCTGAAGCTTAATCGTGACAAGACAGAGGTGATGCTGGCCAGGAAAGCTGGAATGAGTTGTACAGCCTACCTTACAAAATGCAGTCTTAATGTTAAGAGACCCAGTTTAGGACTCTTTAACTAGATTTAGTTCTTCTGTTAAAAGCAGGTAAGCAAGGTGGCAAAAACTGCCTTTTTCCGTTGCAGTTGCACAGAAATTGTCCCCTTCCATAGACAAAATTGGGAAGTGAAGGTGGCGTGGTATAGCCCAATCTTGTCAGGTCTCAGAAGCTAAACGGGGTCGGTACTTGGAAGGGACACCTCTAAGGAAAGCTCTGCTGAGGAAGGCAATGGGAAACCACCTCTGCTTAATTACTTGCCTTGAGAGCCCCTTGCTGAGATTGCCATAAATCAGCTGTGAACATAAGAACATAAGAGACGCCAATGTTGGATCAGGCCAAAGGCCCATCCACCCCAACACTCTGTATCACACAGTGGCCAGAGACACCAGTGCCATCAGGAGGTCCACCAGTGGGGCCAGGACATTAGAAGCCCTCCCACTGTTGACCCCCCCCCAGCACCAAGAACACAGAGCATCACTTGCCCCAGAGTCCCTATCTATACCTTGTGGTTAATAGCCACTGATGGACATCTGCTCCATATCTATATATCTAATAGCGAAAGGCGCCCCCTGCGTGCAGATACCTAAATCCGCACATCGGGGGGGGAGGGAGATTTTTGTGCACACTTGGGGCAGTCCCCAGGTGTGCACAAAAATCTAAAAACCTGAAAAAAATATCGGGGGGATACTTAAATCCCCCCAAAAGTGACAGAGGGGACGCTCTGCGAACTCCCTCGCCGCCACCGCTTGGGGGGGGGGAAGAGAGCAG